CCCCAAAACCCCAAAACCCCAAAACCCCATAAGAGTAAATGAACTATCTGTTAGCAATATGATTGTGTTTATTAAATTAAAATGGATTTAAGTTATTATTAAACAAGCAGAGATAAATGCCTTAAGTTTTACAGAACAGCAAGAACAGTTACTTGATCAAATAGGGCTAAGGACTTTCATTTATATGAGGACTTCTTCAATCAGAATCAAGAAGAATCCAACTATGGCTCAGATGAGGAGCCAGCAGTAGATATATTCACTGAAGTATGGAATCCTGATGAATTAATGGGTTACAAAGGAGTTCATTTCAAGTTCAATTTGAATCCAACTGAACAGAATGATGTTTATGGAGTTATTAGGAATAATTTAGAAGAATCTAAACCTCAAATCAAGCCATATAATGACACAACAGAGAAGTATTATGATAATAAAGTAGGAGCACATTTTCCCTTTGATGATATGTTTAAAAAGTTATAACGGGTATAAAGACATAGAGTTTTGATGGAGGGTGAAAGAAATATGGACTTTGGCAAAAGATTACTAAATTAGATTAAGATAATTTAAGAAGAAGAAGATGATGCACTTTCATCTATATCTTCTATTAGGCGTCAATCAAATATTAAAGTCAGAAAATACAGACCTAAATTGAACTAAACAACAGTCAAGAAAGATCCTCCACCAATTGTTTAAAAGACTGAAAGCATAGCCCTTCCCTTAAACCAATCACATCTAAAGTAATTTAAGAGTAGTAAAAAATCAGGTGGAGGTAATCATTCTCAATTGCGAATGAGTGATGGATTTACAAAGTCAACATTATCATCAAGCACTAATAATAAAGAGGAAATTGATATTTGGCTAAATAAGCAATGCAAGACCTTTTTCAAAGTAAGAAAAAGAATACAAGATCTTACTCTTAAGGATAAGAATGAGAAATAGACTCTGGATTATTTTCAGAGACAGGCTAATATCAGGAAGAGAGTATATTCCAAGGATTTAAACTTCCAAGCTAATAGGAAGTTGCTTGATGAAAACTCTTTGAATAAACATTGATTAAAAAATATACAAAGCCTGATGATTTTATTATTGATTTCATAACTCAATTATAGAGCCTACTTTGATTCTAACGGGGTTTTGGGGTTTTGGGGTTTTGGGG